CAAAGAGTGGGAAACGGTCAAGGGATAATAGCCCAATTTACAGTAAAATGTGAAGCTAATAGCTCGAAAAACGCCACTTAACAAAAGCTGTAATAGAACTCGAATGAAATGGAAAATTTCGCACTCTTTTGTTATTCCAGTGATCTTTGTAGAACTTCCGTGCTCAACCCTTTGTGTGCCGTCGAACTTTTCACTTTAAAAATAAATTACAATCGAACATCGTTGTTATGATCCAACCTAATATTATAAATGCGAAAGTAACTCTACTTGCTTGTTACATTTTCACGCCTAAGCCGCTGAACCATTTTGATCAATTTTGGTATAGATATATACGGGACCTAGGAGAAGGACATGGGCTACTTTTTGTCACAAAAATAGATCTTGATGGGGGTGAAAGTTTATATGCAATACAACTATGAAAATTAGTAGTAAAGAAGTACTACAGCAGTTCTAAATAAATTCTACCTACATGTTATTTATGTTTACACTTTTGAAAATAATTTCAAAATCACTACACCTGACAGGTGGGTTGGCAAGTTAGATCCCATTTGGGGTGGAACTTTCATTTACTACTATAGTACGATGCCTACAAAAAAATACATAGTCTTTCTACGAAAATTACTAATAAGATTTATGAGGGCGAAGGTAGGGAAACCGGAAACCACGATAACATTAACGGCTTATTTACACTAAGTTCTTAAAATAAGTCAATCATACTTAATGGACCAATTGTTATGAACCACATCAAGCTAAAGAGTTTATCAGTGCCGGATTAAGTACCCCAGGCGTTCGAAATATATGATTCCTTTTTTTCTTTCTCTTCATTATTATAAGCGCGGTAGTATAATAATGATACAAAGATTCGCTAATAGGTTAGTCCGACATTATCTATTTCATATTCCTCCACCAGTACCATCTCTACACTCATGAATAAAGGCGTAAGCGTCTGTTATATTCTCCAGCATTATCTTGGTAGATAGTGTAAATGTAGGTACTCAGAAACGTCTAAAGAGTCGTTCGTGGAAAGAAACGTGCAGCGAAGTTTTAAACGCACGTAGGTAAGTGTGGTCAAATATTAAATATAAATATTATATTTATTATTTGACTACACTTTTATTTCTTAGATTCAGTTTATAATTGGAAAAATGAGTCTTAGGACAACATTTTCATTAGAAATTTTGTGTAAACTTGTATTGTTTTCAATCAATCAACACCAACCTAATTATAGATTCCATTGTTGGAACGGGTCTCCTCCCAGGTGAGGGTTTAGGCCACAGTCCGCCACGCTGAGTCAATGCGGGTTGGGAACTTCACACTTTTTCCGAGGGTTGTAAACCTTCTTTGGCATGCAGATTTCATTATGACGTTTTACTTCGCCGAAAAGCTCGTGGTAAAATTCCAATTAAATTACGCATATAAAATCGGAAAAACCCGGATTCGAACCCACGGTCTCTGCTTGAAATTCGGTAGGTCATACCATTAGGCTACTACGGCTTGTGTATTAATGTAATAATTTTGTATTTGCTTCTTATTCAGTGTAATGACGATAGTTCTAGCATTTTTAAAAAAGGAATCATGTCGACCGTAGACTGTAGAAAGTGAGTCAGGATACATAAGTGTGTAGTAAATTGAAATACTCGAAAAAATTGCAGCCCGTGTTCACACGGTACAACTTCCGTTCTCCATCCGCCATCACCGCTCTGCACCGATTTTCAAATGCCAAGGAGCTCTCAACGCCGCGCCTTGTTAGATGCAGGCTTGTTGAATGTGGAAGACTTGAGTCTTAAGTTTCTTCAATATTCTCGTACTACATTCTACATAAAATGTTGGCTGGTTTAGACAGTTGTTACCATCAGATGCCTACGAAACATTTACATTGCTTCGTTTTCATACGATTTACTACAGATGACATGATTTGTTTGTTCAATGGTCACGCTAAATCCACTTAACCAACCATATTTTATTTTTGTAATGAATTATTTCTGTAATGAATGATTTTAAATTTAGTACTTAATTTTTAACATTTTTCATATTATTTTGATTATTTCGTAATATTATTCATTCATAATTCATCCGGAAATTCCCTTATTTCTATATACATTTTTTTTCTTTGCATAAGCTATGTACAATTGTAATTGGATAGCAGTGGCAAAAAGTTATACTGATAATGTTATTTTAAATAAATCTGACTTGCGTATCTCTAATTGTACTATATTGAATAAATAAATAAATATAACAATGATTTATAACAAGAAATTTGGTGCAAACGAAGACGAATGCAAATTTTTTGAGAAAGTCTGAACATTCAGACAATGTTTTTTTATGATTATTAAAACATAATAACACCGTTTTATTTGGCGATTAATCATGAGGTAACCTACATATAGTACATTGCTATAATTTTACTTAAACAAGACAAATACAGGTCCTAAACACACGGGACTGCACAAACACACCTGTTCCACTACTTTGTGCCGTATTTGAGTTGTTTTTCGCTCTTCTCTAATGTACAGCAGTGCTTTTCCGAAATTGTTAATTATTTAGAGTATTATGATAAGTTTAGTACTTAGAAAATGGTGAAGTGGACAGTTGTTAGAATTGTAGTGAAAAGGAAATTTATAAATTAGTCTGTAACGGCAGAAAAAAAAAAACAATAATAATGCGGTACGTCTATGAAGGAACACAATGAAGGGTAACCTTCCTATGTCACGTACGCGCCAACTCATCGATATGTGCCAGTGCATCCTGCTCATCCTAATCTACAGTGCACAGACATGGTCGTTGACCGATTTCTAGAAATATAAACTCAAGATCTGCCAGAAGGCAACCAATATTCTGAGCTTTAAGCGTATTGATCGAAAGCACAATACAATGTAGCGTTCGATAACTAGCATTGTTGATGTGGAGAGCAAAACAGCCCGGCTAAAATAGGATTGGTTGGGCCACGTTGGCCGGATGCTATCCGAGAAATGGGCGAACGTCATTACTCCACGGATACCCGAGGATGTAAGGCGACGATGGCGGGAACGGTTGAGAAGGCGTTGGCGGGATGATATTGATGGGATTAAGAAGGATTGGCGGGAAACCGCTAAAGACAGGGAGCAATGGTGGATTTTGGGTGACTTTGCTCCGTTAAAAGAAACGTGACACGCAACGTCCCCAATTATAAGCTAGATTGTGATTGTTTTCTTTTCTTCTCAGTTCAGGTCGGTCTTCGACGTGATTTTCTCGACTCCCCTTTGCCATTATTTTTACACAATGTTGCAATGTACTCATTTTATCTTTAAGATCTAATTGATTGAACTTACGTAGGGACAATAAACGAACTCTCAGCTTTTGATACATCCAAATATCATTCAGCAACGCGCATAGAAGCTAGTATAATACAAAAACAAATTTGAATATTGAAACTGAAACCTGCAAAGCGTTACATTTATCCTATCGCACAATATCGAACGAATTCGATTTTAATACTAAATACTAGCAGCGCATTCGTGCCCATATTTCACGATACCATCTCGTACTGACATTATCGCCTGCTCCACAATTTAGTATTTCGCTAACCGACACTCGTGATTCCACTCGTGTGGAAATATTCTATTATATTTTGTATCTAACTGTAGTCCAACAAATATATTATAATTATGAATTGCACAAGACCGTTAATCCAATGGTCCGGCAATACAAATACAGGCATTATGTAAATATTTTTTAGTCATGCAGCTAGTGAATAAATCGTAGTTTTTCAGGAGAGACGTTGAGAATTTTAGAAGTAATAGAGCTTCTCGGGAAAGAGTTCGTCCAGGCAAGTACTGCCACCTTACCTATTTCTGCGGCCAAGCAGTAATGTGAGCAATAATGTTTCCGGTTCCGGTTTTGAAGGGTAAGGGTACTGGTGAAATTACTGGCACATGGGACTTATGTCTTAGAATGACGGATGCAATGGTATGGCCACCCCAGATCTTTGCGATTTAAAGCTCTGATGGGCACTGCAACTGTCAGGAACAGGCCCACCAGGCGCGCGACTAGATAGTCCCGCAATAGTAACTTAGTATCACAATGAAAAATTATAAAAAATAAGGGAGTTACTAAATTTCGTATATACATACACAATTCGTTTTCTGTCGTTCGTGTTATTTGTATGACTTTCATGTCATAAAAGCACTTTGACGTACGTACACATGTGGCTTTATTACACCTAGGGTACATCTGAGTATAATAAAGCCATAAATCAGGGTGGGCTACATCTTTTCCATGGAACATTGCCATACATTGTATAGTGTAGGCAGTAGGATAGCAGTTCGGCAGTTCAATATAAAACCCAATCCAATTGAATTCCAATCATTGTGCAGGTGAAAATGTATCGCACGAATAATTTAAAATGAAATCACTGTTCTCGAATCAGAAGTAAACAGACATATCGTTGCTCAAATACGGAGGATCGAACGCAATATCTGTGTAATTGGGATTCTTTTGCGTCAATATTTATAAATGGATAATAAGAATAATTGCTTTTGCGATTTGATGGTATACTGCAATACTTAAAATATTTGAGTTTCCGAGAATTTTTATTTTTCTATTGCATCCCACCCTGTCCCATATGTCAAGGTCTGGTCTGTACTAAAAATTACATAAACTAATCACTCGACCTAGTCAATAAATAATTTATGAGGCCTAATAAATTTTACTGCCAACAATAAGCATGAGAGATATTTATCAGTAGTAACGTCGAGGACGATTGATGTTCATGAACAACCACAACTGATCAAAAGACATTAACGCTTGTCACTGAAGTTTCATGATGAATAACGCCAATGGATTTTAGAAAAGTTTGAATAATATTTTTAACATACCTACGTTATTGCCACTACGTTACACAAATAAGCAATCAGTGTAGTTCAGCTCTCGAAGGGAACGATAACGTGTGTGGCATTTCCTTGATATCACTAATAGATTTAGTAATCCCGTTAGTAATGAAAGACTTTAACTTTTGACGAAACATGAACGTACCCGATGAAGACACAAAGAATCCAAATGTAAAACCAATGCAATTTGATCGTTTGCTGGAAGAAGCTCAATTTCATGGATCAAACAGAATAGCAAAAAAAAGATATCGGTAAATATATAGAATTCCAAATACTATTTATTATAAATAAATAAATAATCTAAATACATTAACAAGAATTTTGGGAGAAGTTCACTTGATTTACACTCTTTGTAAGATAATGAAGATATATGTTTGATGTTCCTTGCCTAGGCACTTTCTGTCGATTATTCCGATAATTAAAAATATAAAGAAAACTATTAACTCTATATAATCTCTTCCAGATTAGTTTGGTGCTTAATTCTTGGAGCAATGTTATGGGCTTCGTTGAGCATTCTCACACATACCATCCTCAGGTTTCTAGAACAACCAACGTTCATGGCACTAAAGGCATCTAATAAACAGAACGTCCCCTTTCCATCACTCGCGATTTGTCCTGAACTTTCTTATCCTGACTACAAGATGGACGCGTTTGTTAAAGAAATGTGAGATCGCATTTTTATTACTATTATATAACAAAATGGTGAGACAGTAGTCAAATGCTTGCTTAAAGTCACAGAAAAAGATAAATGTGTTGTTGCATTAGCAAAACAACATAAACCGCAGCTTCCTACTCTTATGTTTTTATTGACATCACTAAATTTATCATTTCAGAGATTACCCTTCAGGAGTAAATATGACAAATTTTCGTAAGAACCTCAAGCAATTAGCAGCATTCTACTCGCCAGACGTCCAATATAATATTGAGGACCTGGAAACGGTGCAAACTGTGCTGGCCTTCAACAATCTCGACGTAATAAATACTGGACAGCGATTAAGTCCAACTTGTGAAGAGGTTGTTCTCAGGTTTGATTTTTCGATTGGCACGAACTGGGTGATCTGATACATCGTGGAATTAGTTTTAGTCTAACCCTTTGAAACCGTCTAAACCTTTTGAATCAGATTTTTAGCATTCATTAAGAAATGAAATTATTTTTAGTGACGAATGCCTAATTATTGTACCTTGATTTGTGTTATCACGTGCAGGTGCCGATGGATGGGCAAAATGAAAAATTGTACTGATATATTTAGAATGATGTTAACACGGTCAGGATTCTGCTGCGTATTTAACGGCAGGTCGTTGAGACGGTGAGAATTTTATATCTAAATAAAGAGTTCCCTAGTCCTTGTCCAAATATGTGTCTGTACAGACACAGCAAAAAGGGGATGAACTCCCAGATACTGCTTCAAAGGTAATCATACCTAATTTAATGTTTGGATGCAGAGAAATTATACACAACATCACTTCGAAACGTCAGTATTACTCTAATATCGCCGGCCCCATATCAGGACTGATGACCGTGGTCAACACTAGCCAGAAGCACAGCAATGTAGACTTGACCTACAAATGGGTAAAAATATCTGTTTCCTGTTGTTACTTCACTGATTCAGAGAGCCAGAAACAATTTTGTCCTCCAACTTTTCATTAAAAAGATACATGAATCAAAAAGTTTATATGAATTAATTAATATTATTAGCTATCCGCTTGAAAACTTCGTCAAGTTCAATTGCGGTAGACGCTGATGGACATTAGACCTTTCCCCCCTATTTTGTATCATACCTTATAGTAGTTATCTTGAATAATATTAAATAAAGGGAACGTCTCTGAAATTCCGCAACAAAGTAATTTTAATTGAAACTGACGGAAAACTTGACGGTTCTCGGTATACTTCTGAGCAGGTTATAATCGAAGGTGGACAATACTATGCGGAGTCTATGATGAATGGCACGCCACTGGCAGCTGGGAAAGAGCTCTGGCTCGGCTTTGCCTGGACTATGTTCAGCATTAACGATGAGGCCCGAAATCTCCAACAAAACTTGCGGCAGTGCCGGTTGTCAACTGAAGTGTTAGATTATTTTCCTGTGTACGGCAGGTAAGAACAGTATAGTAATTACTACATTAGTATCAGTATTTGCAATCGAAAGATAGTATTATTAACCAGCAACCTATTGGGGCCTTCCACAACGTCTTTCAGTACGTGGTGGACATTCAATCTGTTGTGAGAATCCATTTTCAATTTTCCAAGCTGTGTTGGAAGCATTTCAATGTCTTTGTCATTTCAAATATATCTTCCCTCTGACGTTGATCTTTATTCCGCTTAGTCTTTCTATTTTCATCAATAATTTGTACTTTTTCACCAGGTGGTACTGTCATGTAGAATGTGAAATGGCCCGTACACAGCGTCTGTGTCAATGTCTTCGCGTAACCCATCCGCAACTGCCAGGCGCACGGATCTGTGACGCTGCGAAACTTAACTGCACTAAACGCGCTGCTGGTAAATACTGCTTTATTCTCTATGTATCGCACTGTGTGAAAGATCTTCTTTGTACTCACCAGCTCGGAGTCAAAATCATCCTTATCATAAAAAAATAGTTTTGAAGCAAATTTCTCACTTGATATTGATTACACTATTGTATATTTTAACTTTCGATAGTTACATTCGGCTCCAGTCACTGCACGTGCCCCCAGACTTGTGACGACCACGTCACCTATTACAAAGTTCAGACCTACGACCTCAACAACAAAGAGTGTTTGGATTTCTTTTAGTAAGTACGGTACTGTTTGTGTCTGAATTCTTGCTTCAATATTAATGTCTTTGCTTTTCTTTGTATTTCTTTGACTGTCATTATTTTTAAGATCAGTCTTTACATTGTCATTTCTTTTTTGCTAATATTAGCATATGTTCAACAAATAACCTGTATTATTTTATTATTAATGACTTCTAGTGACGACCTTGACTTCGAAAGAGTAAGCGTCGTGAGAGCGTACATATTAACCGAGAATTTAAAAGAGTACACAAGAATCGTTTATTTTGATAAAGTTAATCTTTTCTGTAAGTATTAATTGTAATTCAGTTTTTGTTTTCTATTTTCTAAACTAGACACCCAACCCTTCTTCAAAAATAATCTGTATGCTATTTGTGTTTTAGCTCAATTGGGAGGCATAGTCAACGTATTTTTTGGATGCAGTATTCTCAGTTTGCTAGAGTCAATTCAAATTGTTTGGTATGTCATTAAAAATCGATACTATTCTCGTCAAGTAAAAATTCAACAATTGCCACCAGACAAATCGAAGAGAAAGTCAAGAAAGAAAAATAAAAAACAAAAGACAGTCAAATTTGCTACAAATCAGGAACAAGCAAAAATTGACACGGACCATTTTAATACTTTAAATAATTTTAATGCCTGGCCTATTCTGGTTATTGTACCTCAACTTGTAAACAGAAAGAAACACTAGAACTATGTAGTTGATAATTTGAATTAATGAATTTGAAACTTGAAATTACTTTGAATGAATAAAATTCATTTATTTATCGAGTACAAAACACCAATTTACCCAGCAAAATTGCCTGCCTATTTTTTGGGCAACCATATAATAAATTCTAGGATATTAATTTTCAACTCTCCACATAAATTGCTGGTTAGCTTTTTCTTAGTGAGGCGACCGCTGTCGAATATATTTTTCCTAGTTTTTGCGACTCGTCATCTCTATTATAGTCGTTGTGTTTTGGTGATATTTAAACGCAAGGGCGGTCAGCTTCCCTGAAGCAGTCGCCTAGTCGCAATTTTCCTGTTAGTTAAACTTATTAATTCCATCAAGTGACATATGTATTTGAATAGTATTTTCTAGTAATCTTGATCGCATTATTCATACAACTATATGTACTATATATATATATATATATGCATATATTATGTTATGTAAAGTTGTAATAGCATTCAGATTGAAGTTTTAAATTTTTCTTGCGAAATTTTCATGCGTATTCCTCTATTCGTAGTATAGAAATACACGTAGCCATCTAGTATGCAGGACACGAGGGACACGTGCATCTGGTGGTACGCATCACGTCTACCCATAAAAGTAGCAGTACTTTCAATCGCAAAGTTGCCTGCTTATCGGTATTCTACTATACGGAGAGCCTGCGATGGAATCGCACGATTTAATTCCGCCTTCCCCTATCCATCACCAGGGACTGGAGGTCGGCTTGGGTTCTACCTGTTGTAGATATTTCAAAGATCCAAAGCGTTACGATTTCACATTTATGGAGTGGAATTCCCTGCCTGCAGACTTATTACCTTAACGTTATGAACTTGAGCCTAGGTATTATTTAAATGTCCATGCTCCATCGTCGACCTCATTGTCACATTCCATTAGGTGAGATAGAGGTCAAATGCGCACTTATATTTTAGAAAGAAAAAGATCTGAATGTCACTGTCTCTGCGCCCGTCACCATAAACTTAACAAGTTCCATGTGGTGTGCCTTTCACTAGCAACTTTACCCATCAAAACGCAGTAATGCTCAAATTACCGCTTATCGACGGAAATAGGGATGTTGGCAATACTTCCTTGGACGAACTCTATCACGAGGAGCTCTGCTACTTAAATGATATTCTAATAATCATAATAAAATACAGTAGCTAATAAAATTTGTAATTATTATTAAAATTATCAAAAATACAAAATCAAAAATGTTAAAACTAAAATTACTGAAATTTTGAAAGATAAAAATAAAATAAGATTGTGTAAACAAATAATAATTACATAAACATGCACTTATTTCCTATTAAGTAACAATTAGAACTATTATCAACATACAATAAAATATGTTCAACAAATTTTTGTTAACTGTCCTATGTTCTAAATGTTTTTCGTCTGAAAATTGTCTTAGGAAGTAAGTATTACTATGATGGCTGTTAACCTGGTGGAGAGCCCTTGCGATTATCAGTGTCCGCGTCTAATTATTTCGAGTCCACTTGGCTCAGCTCAACGGCCCTCCGCTCAGTTTCACTGATTGAGTCTACGCTTTTGACCCACAATACTAATAAACTTTTGTTGTTATGGTTTATGGGTCTGCTATTATTCAGGTGCTTTAATTTTGTTTATGCTGATAAATACATTTTCCGTTGTATGTTATGATGTTTAATTACCAATCAAATCGGAACTAAAGAAATATAAAAATTGTCTCGATTACTATACTATTTCTTTTTAGTCGAGTTAAATAAGAAATATTGCATGTAACTTCTGTAAATGCAATCTATAGAAACCAAACTATTGGTCAACTAATTAGTAATCAGTACTACTAACTAAAATGCAGCTAAGTGTTTATTTAACATTGTCTATTTATTCCTCCTGCCTCCGTGGCCGAATTGTTATCTTGCTGGACTGCCACGAAAAGGTCCGGGTTTGATTCCCGGGCCGGGAGAAATATTTGTATGGCCTACATTTCTCTCGTGAGTTTGGGTGTAATTTGTGTTTGTCTATGTGTGTGTCCATGGCACCGGCGATACAGGGTTTTCCTTGTGCGGGGCTATTATTATTTATTTTTAGGATAACGAACGAGACATGAAGTAAACATAACAAAGTTGAAACAGTGACAGAGACTTACACCGAATTCTGCTTGAAGTAAAGGTCGTTCATAAAAGATAGATCTCCAAATTCTTTATTTAAAAATAGTTAAAGTTAATTTGTCGGAAATTATCGGAACTTACCCTAATAACGCAAAGCTAAAATGTCATTAAACAATTACAATATTCTAAAAGTGGGTTATGGTCCTTTCATGATACATCAAAAAAGTATTTTGTCACATAGCCGCGTGTGAGTTCGCGGACGACAGATTGTATGAGCGTATGAGCAGTACCATTGTACGTGGCAGTGAAAACGTGTGATGTTCTCAACCTACATGCGCCGTGTCTACCCATAACAGTTGTAGTACCAAAGCTTTAAATCACAAAGATCAGGGGGGCACTGCCACGACGCCTGTCACCCTGAGACGTAACTTGACAAGCCCTATGCGCTTGTAATTTCATCATCACTCTCATCCTTCCAAACCAGAACGCCCACATTACTGCTTGGCGTTAGAAATAAGCAACTTGGCAGTACTTCCCTAGACGAACACTTTCACAAGAAGCTCTGCTGCTACTGAAGTAAACCTCTAACACGTAAACTCACATATATATAAATAATCAAATACCTTTTCAATGGTACAATTCCATGAAAAAATCCTCTAACAAAACACAAACCCTCAATGAAATCAATAGAACAAAGTTTATTACCACATATTAATTCTGGAGCTCAATTCACCAATTTCGTGGTAATTTGATTACTACTAAGTTAAACATGCGTTTCCGGGATCTCAAACTAAAACAGATCGTCATGGAGCTTTAATCAGGTTTTCACTGCCCATTTGACTTTGGCGTTTCACACGCAGTAGACAATAATTACGTTTAAATGTCACACTAATAGCTATACACGCGTCAAAGGTAGGTAAAGGTTCTGCCTTGGAAAGTGGTATCCAAACGCGAAGGAACCTAGTGCAGCGATGAAACCCTCACTGCACTAGCTACCTCCACCCTGCCTTAAATGAAACTCAGGATATCAATAGACTATATTAATCTACGAATATAATCTAAAATTAGTTAGTTCTAACTGTGTGTTAGAGACATTTAGAGCGCGATACAAACGCGATGCAATCGCTAATCGTCTACCTTTATACACACATGCGATTTTAAGCAGCGAGGCTAGCGAACGATTGCGTCGCCGCACTTGGGATTTATAGTCGATTGCATCGATGCAATCGTGCGTTTGTATCGAAGCAATCACACGTTTATATCGGTGCAATCTCTTACATCTGATAAATTAAGAATTAGGGTGCTGATAAAATTACATGCACAAGTATTTCTCAGGGTGACGGGCGCAGTGGCAGTGCCCTTCAGATCTTTGCGATTTAAATCTCTGAGTGGCCTTTCTTGCCTACAACTGCTATGGACGGGCGTGTCGCTAACCATCAGGCGTACGACTTGTTCGTGCCATCACTTGGTATTATAAAAAAATCCTTACAGTTCTTTGATATTTATTACTATAAATAGAGTTCATTTACGATAGATAAGATTCTCTGTTGAAAATTGCAAGATAATCGTAGCCTTACTTTCTCAAACTCGTATCTTAACACACAAAGTTACTGAAATGCAAAAAATGGATTCTACATACAAATTTTGCAGGCTGATTTCACATCACACTTCCTGTTATATATATTTACACACCGGCTTTTACCTATTCATGTAACGCATCCAAATTAACACTCTTGATAAGAAATTTAAAATAAATAGAAAATTTTGCCATCTCCTGAATAATCACTCTTTATAAGATTCGAATTTGAGAAAGTAAGGCATCAATATGTTAGATATTTCTTTATAACATAGAGTACAAAATTGCATCTCAAAAAATGACACTTTATAGAATTTGATGAGTGTCGTAATGAATATTCATGAATAAATTCATAGACTACTATAAAGTACCAAATTAGTGACTAGAAACTAGGACCAAACGGCAATTATTCGAAAGTGGAATTAGCATACATATAGGCGATGCGATGAAATTCAAATTCTGAAGGACTCTTCAATAGGCACAACTAGTTTGTCCTCGCTCCAGCCGAACCGAATTGAGCACAAGGCAAACGCTTGATGAATAAAAATTCACCTAACGCATTTAGACTGGAATGAAGGAATACATGAATGAAAATATTTTTTCGGTTTATGTAATGTTTACTA